AAATCTTAAATTGATCCCTATATCTAACTGGAAGCAAATGTAGGGACTGATAGAAGGGGGAGGCATGGGAGGTGCAGGCAGATAGGAAAATGAGCCTCGCTGCCGCATTCATTATAGATTGCAGTGGTGCAATCTGTAAGACCACTGAGAAGGGGATTGCAGCAGTCAAGAAGAGAAAGAACAATGGCATGGACCAGCACCTTTGTCGCGTCTGGTGTTAAATAGGGGCAGATGCAAGCTATTACATAGTTACATAGTTACATAATTACATGACTGAAAAGAGACTTGCGTCCATCAAGTTCAGCCTTCCTCACATATGTTTTTGCTGTTGATTCAAAAGAAGGCAAGAAACCCAGTCCAAAGCGCTTCCAATTTTGCAACAAACTAGGAAAAAATTCCTTCTTGATCCCAAAATAGCAGTCAGATATCTCCTTGGATCAAGCAGCTATTACCCCACTAATTAGAAATTATATCCCTGTATGTCATGTTTTTGTAAATATTTATCCAATTGCAGTTTAAACATCTGTATGGATTCTGATAAAACCACCTCTTCAGGTAGTGAATGCCATATCCTTATTGCTTTTACTGTAAAAAAAATCCTTTTATTTGCCTTGAATGAAATCTCCTTTCTTCTAGCCTAAATGTGTGACCTTGTGTCCTATGTATAGCCCTGTTTATGAATAGATTTCCAGATAATGGTTTGGCCCAAAATATATTTGTATAATGTTATCATGTCCCCTCTGAGGCGCAGTTTTTCCAAACTAAAGGGATTTACATTTTTTTACTTTTCTTCGTAACTAAAATGCTCCATTCCTTTTATCAATTTTGTAGCTCGTCTCTGCTCTTTTTCTAGTGCCATGATATCCTTTTTTACAACAGGTGCCAAAAATTGCACAGCATATTCAAGGTGTGGTTTTACCAGTGATTTATAAAGAGGCAAAATTATATTTTCATCCTGAGAATTTATGCCCCTATTTATACATGAAACAACCTTACTGGCCTTAGAAACTGCAGATTGACATTGCAGATTGCTGCCTAATTTTCTGTCTATAACAATTCCCAAATCCTTATCGTTTGTGGTTATCCCTAATTCATTACCATTTAGGGTGTAAGTTGCTTGTGCATTCTTGACCCCAAAGTGCATAACTTAGCATTTTCTCATTTGCATGTCATCTGCATATAAATGATAATGGAAGCCAAAGGAACTGATGAGTTTACCAAGGGAGGCAGTATAGATGAAGAACAGTAGGGGACCAAGGACAGAACCTTGGGGAACACAAACAGAGAGGGGTTAGGGAGAAGAAGCAGAGCCAGAGAAAGAAACACTGAAAAAGCGCTGGGAGAGGTGAGAGGAACACCAGGAGAAAGCAGTATCTCGTAGACCGAGATTACGAAGAATGAGAAGAAGCTGTTGATGATCAACATTGTCAAAGGCAGCAGAAAGATGAAGGAGAATTAGGATAGAGTAATGGCCATGAGATTTAGCAGCGATTAAATCGTTAGATACTTTGGTCACAGCTGTTTCAACAGAGGGATGAGCGCTGAATCCACACTGAAGCAGGTCAAGCAGAGAGTTGGATTTGAGGAAGTCAATATCGCATACACAACTCTCTCAAGGATCTTTGAGGCAAACAGCAGTAGCGATATAGGGCAGTAGTTGGATGTGGAGTTGGGGTCAAGGTTGGGCTTTTTCAGAATAGGCTTTATGGTTGCATGCTTGAAGGGTGAAGAAAATGTGCGGGAGGAAAGGGAGAGATTTAAAATTTTAGTGAGAGGAAAAGCAAGAGAGGGAGACAGGATGCAGAGGAGATATGAGGGAATAGGATTGAGGGAACAGGTGGTGGGGTGGGAGGACTGGAGCAGAGCAAAAACCTCTTCTGTTGGAGTAGGAATGAGCATAGAACAGTGGAGTGAGTGGAGTTGGGTAATGTATTGGAAGATGTATTGGAAGGGGAGGTAGAGAGGTTAGAGATCTCTTCCCTGATTGTAGAAATCTTCTCTGTGAAGTGAGTTGGAAGTGGAGGATGTCAGGTGCAGAGTGAGACTTTCTCCAACAGCGTTTAGCAGTTCTTGAAAAGAAATTGAGATATCGGGTCAGCTTGGTGTGCCAGGGTTGTAATTGGGAGCGCTTGCTGCATTTAAATGTAGGAGGTGCCATGATTTCTAGTTGAGAGGAGAGAGTGGAGTTGTAGAGTGAGGTTGCAGAATTAGGGCAGGTGAGATTTGAGATGGGTAAAATTAGAGTTTGGAGTTTGGTGGAGAAATGCTGGAGATCAAGGCAGTGGAGGTTTCTATGAGATTAAAGAGTTGAGGGTGGTGAAATTTGGGTACGGGGTATGCCCATGTCAAAGGTCAGCAGATGGTGGTCAGATAGAAGACATGGAACATTGGAGAGATTAGAGGTAGTACAGAGATTGGTGAAGATGAGGCCAAGAGTGTTTCCTGCTGTATGAGTTGCTGAAGTAGACCACTGTGTGAGGCCGAAGGAGGAGATTACAGAGAGCAGACGGAAGGCATCAGGGCAGTGGAGGTTGTTGATGTTAAAGTCTCCAAATATGAGGGAAGGAGTGCTAGAGGAGAGAAAGTGTGGTAGCCGGGAAGAAAAGTGGTCAATGAATAGCCCCGGATGACTGGGTGGGCGATAGATGATGGCAATTCTTAAAGGAGTGGGCTTAAATATGCAGACAATGTGAACTTCAAAGGAAGTAAAGGATAGGGCAGGGTAAGGCAGGATAAAGGTACATTGAGGGGAGAGAAGGAAGCCTACACCGCCGCCTTTACAGTTGAGTCTGGAAGTGTGGGAGAATCGTACTCCACCTAAACATAAAAAAGCTGGAGTAGCGGTATCAGAGGGGGAAAGCCAGGTCTCAGTGAGTGCTAGTAGTGTGAGGGAATTAGAGATAATGAGGTAATGCATGGCTGTTGATTTAATATTGCTACAGGTGGAACGGCATTCCAGAGTGCACACTGAATGTTGGTAGAGGAGGATAAACTGCAGGGTATTTGGATGAGATTTGCGTGGTTTCTAGCTGTTTTTGTGTGAGCAGACAAGGTGAAGGGCCCTGGGTTGGGAGAGACATCACCAGCTGCTAGAAGTAGGAGGAGAGATAGTGATAGGAGGTGTGAATGGGTTTTATATGGGTGAAGTCTAGGATGAGATTGGGTGGGAGCAGGAGAGAAGGAGTAGAGAAATTAGTATAAGGAGATATGTTGATGCTGATGGAGAGGAGAGAAAAAGAAAAGAGTAGAAGATAGAGCATTTTCAGATGAATAAGTACTTTGAGAAAAGCAGAATGGACAGAAGTAAGGAGAATAAGGACTGAGTGTTAGGGGTTATGGGAGTGTAGGAGTGTTCTGATTGCAAGTAGTGTTTGCAGCTGTCATTTCTAATTATCTAAAATTGTAGGTGAGATTCTATCTATAAATGGAATAAAGAGCTTGGGGTGGGGTGGGCAACTGAGAACTGTTCTGGTTTCCAAGAGCGATTTTTTTTTAACTCAGACTGTGGAAGACAGAGATGATAGGGTCAAAAAGGCCTGCATAAAGCTATGGAATGCAGATGCACAGAGGAGGTGAGGCATTGGTAAAGCAAGACACTTGGGTGGGTATCAATAAAATAAGGGGGGGATGCAGAAATAACAGAGAAAGTCTTTAGAGATAAGCAGATAGGTGAAATAACATTTAAGTTAACAAGCCAATAATGTTGAGTGGGGCTGGGAACAACTAGCATTAGCATATAGTGCAAGACAAAGAAAAATATATATGTTTAAATAAACAAGTACACATACACACCACAACTGTAAAGACATATATGTAACGACCGGAGAGTCCCCCTTCCCGACGGCATTCAGACAGCCACAGTCAGGTCCGGCACTAGGACCACGAGTAATTTCTGCAGTTTCCCTGCTTCCACCCGCTCATTGCCACCGTCACTTCCAAGCCGCAATCACTACCGGTCACGTGAGTACCCAGCACACGCCTCCTTCCGGGTCGCACCTTAACTCCGGACACACAGGCCACCTGTCAGGGGAGCAGAGGGGCTGGCAAGCACACACAAGTGCCAAATGCCAAACCCCTCCCCCCACACACACATACACATCGGACACACAGTCCACCAATCAGGGGAGCGGAGAGGCCCGCAAGCACACACTCACAAGTGCTGAATGCCAAGCCCCCCCTCCCCCTGGTCTTCACAAACTCACGGATACAAATACAGACCCCCAGTAGCTCAGGAGTCAAATTGCACTTAGTGCATGTTTCCTTTCCAGTCATTTGTTATGATAACCACTTTCCTGTTCTAAATTACGTCTACAATAAATATATCCACGTGGCAATTTCAAAGTATGCACAATTACAGTTTTTCTCCTGCTATAATAAACCAGCCATCACTCCCATGAGCCACAGCCAATCTCAAAATTATATAATATAATTAAAAACAACCACAACAATATATTCAAAGTCTGGGGAAGGAGAGGGGGGGGAGAGAAGCTTGTTATTAAATGGACCACACATACACCCCAAAAAAAAAAAAAATGTTCCCCATATGTGTATTTTGTCTAGGCAATCCCTAACATAGGATACCAAATCATTGCGCACCGCACTACCATATATACATAGGTAAGTAAGAGAAGAATCTTGTCAATGCAATAACAATATCACGGTCGCATACTCACTCTAATCATCACTTAGGCTTTCCGGGACAATGCATAGTCCGCAAACTTCAACCCCATATCCACCGGACAAGTTTTGTGCAGGTAATCCATCCCCACATGGCCACACTTACGTACGACAGAAAAAAAATAAAAAATATTATTATTTTTTTTACAAATAAATACAAAATTACTGTTCCTCTTCATAGGTCTCTAAGCCATCTCAGGCAACCCACGTGCCATAACAGTCTGGAAAACATTAATTCCTTCCCATAGGTCAAGGCAATCGTTCAAACTCGCTAACCACAAGTAAGTATCATGTTTCTTTTCCCATCTATTTCTCCCATTAAGTAATCACCCTGTGAGACACACACCTGACAGACCAACAGGTTACAATGCCAACAACGGCCCCATTTTAATCACGGTCCCTAACCACGTCCACATTCAGTGGATAAATCCATCAAACTCACCACCGAGTCATGACACCCCCACATCTTTCCATAGTTCACTCTACGTCGCACGTCATCATGCTTATTCGGCCCTCACAAAGACTGCTTCGCCCACCGGCATCACAGGCAAAATCACTATAGACACGTACGAGCACCCCAATCACTCCTCCATTACAAGGAGTTTCACTCCCCGCAAAAAACGTAAACAACTATCCCAATAATACTCTTCCCCCAATCGAATCAATGTACTTACTCATGTTATAGAATGTCACATGCTTCGGACATAGCCAAGGATGTCTCCCTACCCAGCACCCCAGCCAGAATCTCCAGCCCAACCAGACCAAGTAGAGACGGCTAGTCCAGCCTCCGTACGCTCCTGGACCATACCCAAGATTGCAGCTGAACTCAGGAGACGAGGCATACCATACCCGGCCACTTCCCGCAAAGCGTAACTATACCGCCTCCTGAACGCTAACCCTGACACCCCGCGACCAGGCACCAGCACACAGGCAATCGACGGAAGCACGCCTGGACTTCAGGCCACAATGTCCGCTCTTCTTTCTTCAGTTAACCTTATCAATGAGAGACTGGAGAAACTTGAAAATCAAGTGGCCATAATCACCCCAGCAGCTATCCCCTCCATGCTACCATAGACTTTGCCTAACCTGGGTAACAGCACTATTTTCAACCCAGCACCTACACCCACACACATCATCACGCCTGCCCACTTAGTGCCCCAAGCTATTAAGAAAGACATTTTAGAAGGGGAAGATGTCAACCTGGTATCACTCCTTATAGCATCCCAAGACTTGGTAGAAAACAAGGCTTACTGCTATGGAGAGGTATCTGTTGTACTCAAGGCTAGGGACCCCAGGCTTAACAAGAAGCTGGCCATCCCTGATTTTGTGATAGCCTTTGGCTTATACAGGGACATCATCTGTTCTCTTTGTGTATTTGATTTATTAATCCAAATGGATCCATAATATTGTGCATATATAATTTTACATTATAAAAAGTGAGTTTAATTAGATATTCATCTTTTAATCTAAGAGATGCAATTTTAACAGGGAATAGTTGATTTAAAGAAATATGTATGATTGAAAAAATTATAACTTTTTGAGTTCATGAATTTTTTAAAGAAAGAAATTACACTAGAGAGGTATATATACTTGAATAACTAGCTCAATTGTAAATTAACTTTCAATGTAACTTTCAATGTATTGGATGTGTTGATTCAGTTAAATTCTTTGGAACTTTAAATTTAGACATATAGTTACACAGAGAAACCCTCTTACAATATTATGCATCGTTCAATAAATTTAAAAAACTAACTAAAAAACCTGTAAAGCAGAAATCAGCACTAAAAAGATTTCCAAGCATCATAAGATGAAAGTCAAGTAGAGTGATCAAAATGGAAAGTACAGAACTTGATGCAATAGCTATGATTATCTAATTCAACAATGTAGGTCAAATGTTAATTCCCCTACAAGCCATTCACCTGTTAACCGCAAATCCTATGCAGAAGCAGCTAGTTATACCTACAGAAATACACAGGAGGAAGAACGGTTTTTAGGGAGGGAGCCAGACCAAAAAGAAAGATGAATCACCCAATTCTTCAAGCCTTGAGACAAACAGTGGGAGAACAGATTCTCTTCCCTGGAGGACTTCACAGATACCCCACCGAAGAGAAAGAGATTAGAGGAGACCTCGTGGAGAGAAGAGAATCACAGGAGAAGGAATTAGAAAAAATGGCAGGGATCTATAATTTAACAGAATTACAGCTAACCCCTAATGCTATACAAGCACTTAGAAAAGGTTTGAAATTCACACCTAATAAAAATATAAATCATTTTGATACTTATATAGATCTTCAGATGTATATTAGAAGGAGGACTCTAAAAAGGTTTTTTCTCAAACAGGAAATAGAAGGAGATAGTTCAACCCTAGATATAAATATAAATAGGAAAAAGTTTAAAAATAAATCTACCTTTTACCCATTAAATCATAAAGGCCCACATTTGGAGACATTTAATGATATGGTAATTTCAGAACTTGAACAATTAGAACTTAGCCTAAACAAACAAAAAAAGAATAAATTTAATTAGCAGCTAGTATACGCAAATTACAAAGCAAGGAAGAAATTACCATCAAAGAGGCGGATAAGGTAGGGGTGATTTTAATAATGACAAGGGAATACTATCTCAAAGAGGCTTGTAGAATTTTGGGAGATCAGAACACATATGTTCATTTAGAACATGACCCCACGATAGATTTTAATGCAGAATTGGAACCATTATTAAACTCTGCATAGAAATATTACATACATAGTACATAGAAATATTATTTCTAAAGAAAATGCCCAATGTATATTTAATAAACATCCAATAATTCCAAGTTTTTTTTTGCCAAAATTGAAGAAAAACCCCATAGAACCACCGGGAAGACCCATTATTAGTGGGATTGATTCAATAACAGCCCACCTGTCGGAATTTATAGACCGCCATTTACATAAATACGCCCAGGAAGCTCCCTCATACTCGGCCCACATTCTTGAAATTTTAGATAACAAACAGTGGGAAAATAATTTTAAATGAGTGTCAGGTGTAGCCTGACATGCATTTCGTCGTAGGAACCCACTTCCGGGTTCACTGAGCTTAGCCCCGCCCCTTTTTCTGACGCGGTCCTTCCACACTACTTAGGAAGACCGCGCCAGATTCAAAGGGCTGGATTATTTGCACAGGTGCCTGCAAAACTTATCAGCTGCTCTATCTTGATCCTGCGTGTACCAAATAACGTTCTGGGACGACTACCCTCCTTCTCCACTCCTTGACCTCGGCTTGCAAAACGGACTTCTACCTTCTCCACTCCTTGACCTCGGCTTGCTAAACGGATTTCTACCCCTCTTCACTACCATTGGATGTAATTAACCCCTTCAGTTCTAGAACTGCCTCTTAAGCTAAGTAATTGTTTCTACAATCAAGCTACTCTCTGTTACTAATAAGAGACTGTTTCTAAAGGCTCATTACTGTGTCATTCTCTCAAGTTATTCTCTGTTATACATAAGGAACTGCTTCTAAGGCTAAATTCTTCTTGCAACAATCAAATTATTCCTAGCTGCAATTCTGTCTTGCCTCATTGATAATCTTGCTTGCAGTTATTCTATCATAATTAAGCTGAACCTAACTCTGCATATTTTTCTGCACTATTCCTAAATTGGGACTATTTGGCTTGTGCAAATCTTCATTGGCTTATTCCTTACTTACAATTAACATCCTGCTTGAGGGTTTAAAGCTACAGTAACCTCTCCTCCACATCAGTACAAAAGGAGGTAAAACTAATAGTTACTGCAATTAGAAAATTCTGCAGTTGAGTTCCAAATAAAATTAGTATTACAATGAGTAACGATTGATGTTATGTCTTTGTACACCATCATCAAACACGATGTGGGTATAGCAGCAGTGAAGAAAATTATAAAATAAAATATCAACATACAGAGTTCCTTTAGACATTTTCTACTAAAGGGTATACATTTCATCCTCCACCATAACTAACATAGAAACATGGAATATGACGGCAGATAAGAACCAGTCGGCTATCACGGGTGGCAGTACGGAAACCGGGACCCCAAAGTGCCTGATGAGAAGTGGGAGTCTTCAGCATGGAGGTGGATTATCAGGGCCTGGAGCAGGGTAACCACACGCCCTCTGGTGTTGAGCACCAGCGTTTGCACGGCCACATACCAGAACCCTGATGCAGCTGCAGCGGATCCCAGGAACTAGGAGCATGGAAAGAAGCAGACCTCCCAGGAGCATGGAAATAGGGAGGCTCTGTAGCAGGGATGTATCCAGTACTGAAGCAAGGCAAGACTAGAGATAGGCACCATACATGAAAACAAGACAAAACTAGAAGAACAGGGCAAGACTAGAGATAGGCACCATACATGAAAACAACACAAAACCAGAGCAGGATAGAAAGCAGAACCCAGAACATGTACACAAGACATGAGGAAAACAAGAACATAACATGGGCATGACTGGACAGGACTGTACATGGACTGGGATTACAAGACAAAATAAAACAAGACAAGAGATACAAGGTAAAACAAGAGGAGACATAACTAAGCACTATATATGAAAAGTATGGGGATTTAGTCACATTATATGATCATACATTGCATAAGCCTGCCAACAATGCCAATGTACCCCATATCTGGCAGGTCCTACACTTGCTAATGGATGCTAAAACAACCACACTAAACCACGATAGCACTTACCTGCAAGAAAGGGCAGAGGCTTGAAACACTGCTGCAGGTCCAGGCTGAAACAAAAGGAAAGTGGAAAACAAACGGGTGTGGCAACATAAAACAAACATTTAAGTGAAACCTGGAGACTAGGAATCCCAGAGATGGATTACAGGAATTAACCCAGAAATTACAGCAATAAAGAAAACCAGAAGACATAGACCAGAAAACCAGAAAAACCAAGCAAGGACAGCAAAAAGAGTACTGGATACCAGAAGCCAAAGCCAGACATCTCCGCAGAACATGGCATGATTTGACATAACTCCCCTCTTAAGGAGCGACCTCCGGGCGCAACAAGCAGCTCTCAGGCAGAGACCAGGAAAGAAGCGAGGATCCAGCAACTAAGTCTTCAAGACTTACCGTAGGCAAGGATTCCCCAACACAGCAGGAAAGACGTTTGCGGCTCACAATGCCATTCCGAACTACTTTACTTCCTTTGGAAAGGTCTCCTGCAAAGGAACCACCAGCCAGAACCGAGATCCACTCCAGAATAAGAGCACTGCCACGAAACAGGAAGCAAGCATCACAAGAGAACACCTGAAGCAACAACCATACAGCTTAGCAGATCGACCTCCTCCACGACAAAAATAAGGAAGCCATCTCTAGCAGACTAGTCCAGATACAGGAACTCTTGCATGCCAAATAACCAACAGGAACAAGAACAAGGAACCAGGAACCAAGCATCACAAGATGACACTTGCAGAGACCACCAAACTCCTTAGCAAATCGACCCCCTCCAAGACAGGAATCAGACAGACTGAACAAGAATGAGGAAGTCATCTTCAGCAGATTGGTCCAAATTCAGGAACTCTTGTATGCTGCATAATCCAGGAGGAACTAGAACAAGAAACCAGGAACCAAGCATCACAAGAAAACATATGAAGCGACCAACGTACTGCTTAGCAGATCGACCTCCTCCATGACAAAAATAAGGAAGCCATCTCCAGCAGACTGGTCCAGATACAGGAATTCTTGTATGCAGTTTTCTCAGACAGGACATGACACAGACAGAGCAGAACAGGAAACCTGCAAAGTCCACTCCATGAACTCCAAGTGCCTATGGCCATCTGTCAGGGTGGCGGTCCGGTGCCCGGGAACCAGACACTGTCCGGGCGGTGGTGCGAGGACCGGGACCCAGTATGCCTGATGATAAGTGGGAGTCTTCAGCATGGAGGTGTATTATCAGGGCCTGGAGCAGGGTAACCACGCGCCCTCTGGTGTTGAGCACCAGCGTTTGCGCGGCCACATACCAGAACCCTAATGCAGCTACAGCGGATCCCAGGAACTAGGAGCATGGAAATAAGCAGACCTCCCAGAAGCATGGAAATAGGGAGGCTCTGCAGCAGGGATGTATCCAGTACTGAAGCAAGGCAAGACTAGAGATAGGCACCATACAAAACTAGGAGAACACAAAACCAGAGCAGGACAGAAAGCAGAACACAAGACATGAGGAAAACAAGAACATAACATGGGCAGGACTGTACATGGACTGGGATTACAAGACAAAATAAAACAAGACAAGAGATGCAAGGTAAAACAAGAGGAGACATAACTAAGAACTATATATGAAAAGTATGGGGATTTAGTCACATTATATGATCATACATTGCATAAGCCTGCCAACAATGCCAATGTACCTCATATCTGGCAGGTCCTACACTTGCTAATGGATGCTAAAACAACCACACTAAACCACGATAGCACTTACCTGCAAGAAAGGGCAGAGGCTTGAAACACTGCTGCAGGTCCAGGCTGAAACAAAAGGAAAGTGGAAAACAAACGGGTGTGGCAACATAAAACAAACATTTAAGTGAAACCTGGAGACTAGGAATCCCAGAGATGGATTACAGGAATTAACCCAGAAATTACAGCAATAAAGAAAACCAGAAGACATAGACCAGAAAACCAGAAAAACCAAGCAAGGACAGCAAAAAGAGTACTGGATACCAGAAGCCAAAGCCAGACATCTCCGCAGAACATGGCATGATGTGACATCGGCCCATGTAGTCTGCCCAATTTTCTAAATACCTTATCTTATAGTTAGGATAGCTTTATGCCTATCCCACACATGCTTAAACTCCTGTACTGTGTTAACCTCTACCACTTCAGCTGGAAGGCTATTCCATGCATCCACTACCCTCTCAGTAAAGTAGTACTTCCTGATATTATTTTTAAACCTTTGCCCCTCTAATTTAAGACTATGTCCTCTTGTTGTGGTAGTTTTTCTTCTTTTAAATATAGTCTCTTCCTTTACTGTGTTGATTTCCTTTATGTATTTAAATGTTTCTATCATATCCCCCCTGTCTCGTCTTTCCTCCAAGCTATACATGTTAAGATCCTTTAACCTTTCCTGGTAAGTTTTATCCTGCAATCCATGAACCAGTTTAGTAGCCCTTCTCTGAACTCTCTATAAAGTATCAATATCCTTCTGAAGATACGGTCTCCAGTACTGTGTACAATACTCCAAGTGAGGTCTCACCAGTGTTCTGTACAATGGCATGAGCACTTCCCTCTT